AGATCCTTATACATCTTATCCGCCCCTGGGTGAATCGAATACCTAGATCTATGGGTTCCTCCAAAACTAACTCTCGTAGATTTTAAATCATCGGAATCCAAACTTTGTTATTGAAGTAATGCACTCCATCTGACTTAATCCTAAATTTATGCTCTAGATTATGCAGGGTCTCGCTCTTCAAATATTTTGCCTTCAACGCTTCATTTTGAGCTTCAAGAATTCGAGTCTTGAAACTCGTCTGGACAAGCATTCCCAAAGCTCGTACTCGAGAGGGTTTTATCCTTTCCTTCCGGCTTAGAGCATCTGCCACTACGTTGGCCTTACCTAGGTGGTATCGGATTTCACAATCTTAATCACTGAGCAACTCCACCCATCTTCTCTGTCTCATATTGAGTATCTTCTGATCAAGGATATGCTGGAGACTTTTGTGATCGGTAAAAACAGTACACTTAGTGTCGTACAAATAATGCCTCCATATTTTGAGAGCGAAAACCACAGCTCCTAGCTCCAGGTCATGAGTGGTATAGTTCTTCTCATGGGCTTTGAGTTGCCACAAAGCGTATGCTATAATCTTGTCCTTCTGCATCAATACGTAACCCAAATCTTGGTGGGATGCGTCACAATATACTACAAAGTTCTCGGTTCCTTCTGGCAAGGCCAGGATTGGCGCGTTGCATAGCTTATGTTTTAGCAGTTGGAATGCGTCCTCTTGAGGTTTTCCCCAAACAAATTTCTTACCTTTTTGGGTCAATGCTGTTAATGGCTAGGAATTCTTCGAGAAGCTCTCTATAAATAGTCGATAATAACCCGCCAAACCCAGAAATTGACGAATTTCTGTCGGGTCTTTGGTGCTTCCCACTTCTTTATGGCCACAACCTTAGCCGGATCCACATGAATTATTTTTTCGCTAATCACATGACCGAGAAATTGTACCTCCCGAATCCAGAATTCACATTTTGAAAATTTAGCATACAATTCTTGCTCCTTGAGCAATTCTAGTATCATTCTCAGATGCTGCTCGTGATCTACCCTACTTCGTGAATAAATCAGGATATCATCAATGAATACGATCACAAACTTGTCTAGGTACGGTCTACAGATCCTATTCATTAAATCCATAAATACCGCCGGCGCGTTGGTTAGACCAAAGGGCATAACTAGAAACTCGTAGTGCCCATATYGAGTCCTAAAGGCCGTCTTAGGGACGTCCTCGTCATGAACTCTTAATTGATGATACCCTGACCAAAGATCAATCTTAGACAAATAACATGCGCCTTGCAACTGATCGAACAGATCATCAATTCGGGGGAGAGGATATCGGTTCTTGATCGTCAGCTTCTTTAACTCCCTATAATCTATGCACATTCAAAATGACCCATCTTTCTTTTTAACGAACAGGACTGGAGCTCCCCAAGGTGAAGAGTTTGGCTGGATGAATCCTTTGTCCAGAAGTTCCTGAAGTTGTCCTGATAGCTCTTGCATCTCGGCCGGTGCAAAGCGATATGGAGCTTTAGCAACAGGCGCCGCTCCGGGAACTAGATCAATTCAGAATTCGACCTGTCTAGATGGAGGAAGTCCTGACAAATCATCCGGAAATACTGCTGGATAATTTCTCACCACAGGAATATCCTGAATATGCTTTTCCTCGGATTTCCTTTCTGATACATGAGTCAAGAATGCAACGCATTTTTTTCTCATATACTTGCAAATCTTCACACATGATACCATCTTTAAACTCCTTCCAGGTTTTTCCCCTTGTATAGATAGGGTTTCTCCGTCTTGGTAAGGTATTCGCACAATCCTCTCAAAGTAACAAATCTCCGCTTGATTCTTAGACAACCAGTCCATTCCTACCACTACATCGAAACTTCCCAATTTAATTGGGATAAGATCAATGCTAAATAACTTATCAGTAAAATTTAAAGTACAACCCAAGATTACGTCCCCAACCTTTATTTCTTGGCCATTGGCAAATTCGATAGTGTAAGCATCTTTTAACTTACTCGATTTCAGATTTATCAACGGCCTAAATTCTAGGGAAACAAAACTTCTATCTGCTCCAGAATCAAATATTACTAAGGCATAGAGGTTGTTTAAAAGAAACATACCTGTCACAACATTAGGGTCTTGACGTGCTTCTTCGGCTCCCATTGCAAATGCCCTTCCCCGAGCCTGACCTCCTCGATCTCCCTGACAGGTTTGCCTTTCTTGGTTTCCGGCATTGTTGATGCTTGATCCTCTAATTATCCTTGGGCACTTATTCCTGAAGTGATTTGGGCTTCTGCACTCATGGCATGATTGATTCTCTCTGATCTTGCAATCTTTAGCGAAATGACCTCCTTTATTGCATTTGAAACAAATAATGCATCTCCCGCTATGGTGATAATTGCACTTGCCACATTTAGGGTAAGTCCCCTTGCCCTTTTCTCCTGTTTGAGACTGATCCCCAAAGTTTCTTATCACTTTTTGGTTTTTGCCTAAATCATTGTTGGTCCTTTTCCACGATTGCCCCTCTAGTTTCCTCTTTCCACCAAATTTGTCTTGCTTTAAAATCCCTGATCTAACTGCATCATTTGTCAGACGATTTGCCAACACCACCGCATTTTGTATAGTGGTTGGGTTTGCCGAAGTGACCATCCCTCGGATTTCAGGTACCAATCCCCAGATGTACCGATCAATTCGTTTCTCCTCTGGAGTGACCATATGAGGTACTAACTTGGCAAGCTCATGAAAACGAGCTGTGTATTTGTCTAAATTTTGCTCTTAGAACAATACTCTTCGATGAGTAACTTTTTGAGTTCTTCCGATGATAACTCATAGGCAGCTTGGCGACCACGGGTTTGAACTTGAATGTTCCACCAAGTTAGGGCTCTTCCCTGGAGTTGGCATGTTGCATACTCCACTTTACAGTCCTCGGAACACTTGCTAATATGGAGTACCGACTCCATGCTCTCAATCCATGACAATAATCCAATTGCACCTTCTTTACCATGAAACTCCTTGGGCTTGCAGGACATGAATGTCTTGTAACTGCATCCTCTATCATTAGTGTTACGGTTCTCCTCCCTGACGAGATTCTCGGTGCTAGGGCCTCCTTCACTCCTTTGACTTGCATTAATGCCCGCTGTAACCTGAGCGACAATAGTTGGTACTGCCTCCCCAATTTGCAGAGCTATCAACCGTGCTATATCGGGTGTTTGGCTTTCAGGATTTTCTCTCGTGCTGCGAGTACTCCTTCTTGGAGGCATATTTCTAATGCACAAATTTTTAAGTCGAAGTTCAGTTATTTTCATTATTTACCATTGTGTTGCACGACATGTTACAATCATCTAATCATGTAACCAAGGTAATAATATAATAACTTATAATAGTAAAGGCATTAAATCGATAATCAACAAAACTTAACCATTCATAGACAAAAACTCATAAGATCCATAAATAAAATAAAGATGTCCAATATAAAATAAAAATTGTTCAAAAACCACGACTACAAGCCTCAAAAGAAAGTCTTAAATTTCCACGATTGACAACTTAATAAATAAAATCCTCTAACACATAAGACTTTAAATAAGCAACCCTATCACTATTATCAGAATTCCTGCTAACACCGTCAGATAAGTGTGCAATCTCTTAATCGCTCTCCTAGCGATGAAAATCAACTCTAATGAACGATCCATCATATTATCTTGAGTTCCTAGGGCTGTAATCACTCCATCGGCAAAGTGTCGATAATGCTCCAGCCTAAGTTGACACATCTCAAGATCTTGAGCCATGCCCAAAACCCATAAATTCTCTAGGGTAGTCATACCTGAAGAGCGCTCCAATGTGGTCCTGGTAGTGGGTGGGGGTGTTACACTACGAGTGTGTGACCGTGATGGCTCCTTCACGGCTCCAGGTGGGGCGGAGAAAGACACCCTCACAGGTGGAGGAATGCTCATTCGGGTGGTGGTTGCGGCTGTGGGGTGGGTGATCGCGCCGAAGATTCAGTGACATCGTTGCCACTATCGTAACTGTGCTCTGAGGGATCGTAGTCTCCAGAGTTCGAATATTCATTTTCTGACGACATAATGCTGCGATATTTAATAAACTTTTAAATTAGTAAACGAATCATAATAAATGACCAAAAGATGCAAAAATTTATGCAAACTCACATATGTGAACAGTGCTTTTCTTATTGAGTAAGAAGCCGTTAACTTTTAGCCAAACACCTAACATAACCGATCCGCGTCTCTCCTTAGACATACTTAATTAGACACAGGTGATCAGACTCTGTCTAGTTAGAGTATGCTAAGAAGTCACTCGTTCTGGTTATTTTAGTAGTATGTCCGTTTTAAAATTTTCAAACTCTTTCTAAGAAAATTATTTCGTAATTTTTTTTTGGATTAGAGTGTATGGTTTTCTTAGAAAACCGGTGTTCTCTATAACCTACAGCTCTGATACCAAATCTGTCACACCCAGCTAAAGCGGAAACGCGAGGTATGGCAGGTAGAGTCTCATAGCGATAGAGTATAAGTAACACAACCATACATTTTAAAATTTAAATACATCATAACCAAAGTTTACAATCCCAAAGACAAGTTTATAATTTAAACACAAAAAAAAATTTGAAGGTGACGATTGTGACACGGCTTCTTTTAAGAGTAACCATGAGCCTTTCTTACCCCTGAAAAACCACGTCAAAACAAGTGTCAACTAAAAGAGTTGGTGAGTTCACAGGTTTTCATTTCACGACAAATCTTTAAGAAATAAATAAGTAGAGTAAATCTTTTACTTACTCGCAACACTTTCATGCGAGGCACAATGTACTCCAAGAAATTTTTAAGTGTTGGGCTACTACTAAACCTGACACCTACGCCCTTTTATACCGAACTACCTCAGCGGTGGGACTAAACCCCACATGTGTAGAACCCTTGYTTTAGTTATATGCACCCCTACTCACCAGCAGAAGGTGGGATTGTCAGTCCAAATAACGCTATCCACTTAAACTATCGGCTCAACGAGTTAATAGTAGTGTCACATCGGGACTTTTGAAATAACCCAAACACAACTATTACTTGATCACAAGGTGTTGGTGCTCACATTCACAATTTCAGTTCAAAATATAATTCATAAGAATCAATTTGAATCCACAGTTAAAACGCAATGAATATTGCATGCAAAACATCACTATATTTATACATGATTTTTCCCCCAAAAACGCGAAAATAGTAAAAAGGGGCCGTGAATACTCACTCTTTTGCAATGCACTGCAAAATAGAGATACGATCCGATCACCACACTAGTTCAACGATTCCCTATCAAAGAGGAATATCCAAACCATCACTTATGGATTTAACACTACTTATGGGGTTTAATAAGTCCTAAGTCCATAATTGTATACTTATGTCCCATATGATTATCCATAGTCCAAAATGTCCATATGCTCGTTAATGTATTAATTTATACCAAAAACAATGATATAGTCCAATAAAAAGATCAAAATTTTACAAAATCAACTAATCCCAAAATCTCGTTTTTGGGCCGAAACTAATGATACCTAAAAATGCTCAAATTAAAGAGACTTCTAAAATGAGATAATTTCCTATCTTTTTACATGGGCTATAGCACTGAGTTATAGTCATCATGACCAAATTTCATGTATTTCAGACATGCAATAATGATTCAAATAATTTATGCAAAACGACTTATCACGACTGATATGGCAGATTACACCATGTTAGTAAAACACTCATTAAAAGAGTTCTACAAAGTGTTGTGCAGAAATTCAAGTTGGATTATAAACTTAACACCTATATGAAACTTTCAAACTAAAAATCACTCATCTTGGAGAAGTTAAGAGAAAGATATGGTACCATAAAGTTACATACACACATCTGTCATTTGTTGACAGATTGCACACTTAACTTTAATAAATTGGTTAACGCCTCAAAACTTCATATGTTTGAGTGAAACTGGATTCATATGAACCCTAACTCATAAAAGAACATTTTAGAAGAAGAATCATACACTAAGAAAAAATAAGTTGAGAGATATTAGCATACAAAGTAGGAGTTACCTACTGGTGGTTTCACAGTGATTCCACTTTCATAAATTGGTTAACGCCTCAAAATAGTGTTTTTAGGTGTTTGGAGATCAAAACTCCATAATTTCATGTGATTCCACTTTTATGCAAGAGATAACCCATATAGTTAACTCTTAAAAGAAGAATCATCCTTTTTCATCAAGTTTTGAAAAAGATATGGTCATTGGAACATACATATACAAATCTGTCAGATTCGGACAGATTGCATGTTCACTTTGCTTTGAGTAGTTAAAACACAAACCACCACAATATTGAATGAAATCGGTGGAATTTGAAAGGTAACTCATTAAACTAACATCCAGAAGAAAAATCAACAATTTTGAATGATTATCTAGAGAGTTATGGCTGTTTGAAGTAGGGTTTACCTACTGAAAAACTCTCAGATGCACATATATAATGTTTTGAGTATTTGGGGAGTCAAAACTCAATGTTTTTGAGTGAGACCAATTGGATTACAACCCTAACTCAATAAATAAACTTTTAGAAGAAATCTCATACCATTTGAACATGTCATTTACAAGATATAGACGATTTGTGCACATGCACATAATCTGTCAGCACCAAAATATATCATTTTTAAGAAACAAACTCACATAAAATCATGATTTTTACCTATCTTTTTGAGTTCTAATGTTTGGGTCAGAAATTACCACCATCATATAAACATTTTTACATGTTTTTGGTGTATAATCTCTCCTTAAAACTCATAATTTTCGGAAGTTAGAAGATAGTAGATAAAGAATGCATAAAAAGTGGGTTTTTCACCCAAAATTTACAAGAAAAAGAAAGAGATATGAATATGTTACCTTGTTTGTGGATGAAAGGGATGTAGTATCTTCCAAACTCTTGCTAATATGATGAAGATTAGAAGAAAAATCGGCTGACTATGTTGAAGGATGAAGATGATAACTCAAGATGAGTCTTGAATTTTTAGGGAGAGAAAGGAGAGGTGTTTTGAATTTTGAATGGAGAGTAATGAGGTTTAACGAAGAATCAATCTATTTATATGTGGACTAAGGAGGGAAAAAGGGGGGGGGGAGAGGTTGGCCATAAGGGCCCAATCCCACCCTCAACAAATATATTTTTTTTTTAAACAAAGCCCAAAATGCATAAAATGCGATTTTCTCAATTTTGACATTTTTCTTCAAATTAAAAGCCCATGATGACTAAATTCATTTAAATATAAAGGTTTTATATTTAAAACACTAAAACTTAGTGTTTTATATAAATTGGGTATAAATTAGAGCATTTGGCACTGTATAGGACGTTTCAAATAATTTCGGGTCGGAACCGGACTTTCTAAGCAACTGCCGGAATCTCTTAGAAATTTTTCGACCAAACTAACCTAACTAACTCCTAATCTTATAAATTATCTTCAATAACACTAATACAAACTTAATAAGAGCTAACCTGGGAGTTCGAATTTGACGGTTGTCACATTTTTCATTGGAACAAATGATGAATTCTTACATTGATGAAATGGAAATTACAAGACACAAAAAAAACGTAAGACTACATTTAGGGTCTCCCCTGAGATATTTCCCAAAAACGCATGAGTAGTCCTCTATAATCGATGACTATAGATATCTCATGTATCAGTCTCTGTCCATCGTCTGTTGGC